AAACGTGAGCAAATGCTGTGATCCAGTAATTTCACTTCCAGCTACTCACATCAACATAGCTTCTGTAAAAAGTTAAACTAAGTTTATTTAAGTAATGATTTGAATCAGGCAGTGCCAAAATCAAAAAATGGTTAGGGGTGCTGCACAGGCTGAGGCTAGGGAAGAAGTTTTTATAGAGAAGAGGCAGAAGCAAAGCAGATAAATAATTTTATTTACTATAACTTAAATGTTTGCCTTATTTTGGTAAATTTAACTATTTGGGCATTATCGTTCTTTTTCTTTTATTTATTTATTTATTGTTGAGGAAGATTAGCCCTGAGCTAACTACTGCCAGTTCTCCTCTTTTTTTTTTGCTGAGGAAGCCTGGCCCTGAGCTAACATCCATGCCCATCTTCCTCTACTTTATATGTGGGACGCCTACTACAGCATGGCTTGCCAAGCGGTACCATGTCCGCACCCGGGATCCAAACCGGCGAACCCTGTGCTGCCGAGAAGCGGAACGTGCGAACTTAACCACTGCGCCTCTGGGCCAGCCCCAAGCATTATGGTTCCTGAGTTTCATTTTTTCAGATTCCAGAAAAATCTAGTTGACTTTGTCTTTGGTTTGTTTACATAAGCTAACAAAGGCACTAGAGCTACCTTAGTCTAGTGGCCTCTGTCTTTAGTTGTTTTAACATTGCATCTCAACACGATGTTTTGAAAGAAGCAAATCATAAGAATTAAACAGTATAATTTAATTTATATAAAGTTATCTTACTAAACAATATAATTCAATCTATATAGTCTTGCCTTTGTCTAGAGATAAATACATGTGATAAAAGAACTGTATAGAAAAATAAGGAAATGATTAATACAAAATTTAGGAACAATGATAATTCTGAGATGACGGAAGAGGCATTCAATGGTAGTAGGATAAGTAAGAGATTTCAAAGCCTTTGATGATATTTTATTTCTTACGCTTGCACATGTTAGAAAGACATGCATTTTTTAATTTCCATTAATTAAAATGTGCATATATCCTATTTGCCTTTATACTTTTCATTTGTGTTATATATTTCATAATTAAACAAATAAAAAAATAGAGAATAGGAAGACAGAAGCGGTGACATTGAGTGCAGCAGCTCTCTGGATGCTGTCATGGACCACAGAGAGATGAGGTGGTTGGGGTTAGGAGCATAGCGAAGTGAAGAATGTGGTTGTCTGTGGTTATAAAGAGTGACATATTACATTTCTGAGCTGATATGAAAGCATCAGTGAAATGGAAACTGATGAGGTGGCACATAGAAGCAATAATTGAAGAACAAAAGTCTTGGCTAGGCAAAGGAGATGGGCTGCAGGGCAAAAATGGATGGATTGATATTATATAGGAGCAGGGACTGGTCATCTTTTGGAACTGGAGAGAAGACAAATGGTGTAGGTATGTGCTGGTGAGGTGGTGAAAAGATTAGGTAGTGTGGTCTGCTTCTGTTTTCTCTATGAACTTCTCAACAGCAGCTTGCCTCTACCTTGCATAATACTGGAAGTTTGAGAAGTGAAGAGAATGCATGAACCAGTTATCTAGGAGAATGAGAATGCAACTTCACTAGGTCTGTGGTAGTCTTGCTGGTCAGTGCTGACCACTCTTTTAAATATTGTGATTAGACATTTCAAGTGAGATCTGCAGCAGAGTGGGGGCCTTCCTCTAGTTTGGCTGGCTGCTCAAGTGGCAGGCAAAAAGTAGGCTTGGTGTTTTGGGGGTGTAGTGGGTTGAATTGTGTCCCCCCAAAAGATATGTTGAAGTCCTAACTCAGTAGCTGTGAATGTGAGCTTATTTAAAAATAGGGTCTTTACAGATGTAACCAAGTTAAAAGGAAGTCGTCCTGGATTAGAGTGGGCCCTGAAGCCGATAACTGTGCCCTTATACAAAGAGAGAGATTTGGAAACACAAAGACACATACAGAGGAAAGACAGCCACACGAGCATAAAAGGGGAAATTGGAGTGATAAGCTATAAGCCAAGGAATGCCAAGGATCGCCAGGAATCGCCAGAAGCTAGGAAAAGTCAAAGAAGGATTCTTCCCAAGAGTCTTCAGAGTGAGCCTCAGAAGGCCCTGACAACACCCTAATCTTGGGCTTCCAGCCTCCAGTACTGTGAAAGAATAAATTTCTCATGTTTTTTAGACACCCAACAGCTTAAATGCAGCCCTAGGAAACTATTACAGCAGTTGACTATGAAAACAGACAATAAGAGAGTGATTTAACCACAGCTCATTTAAATATAAGCTTGGCAAAAGGAAAAGTGAGAAAGATCTGGAGCATTAAGAAAGTGGTAAGAACAAAGGAATGAAAGTATTGGTGGAGTCAGATACTATTTAGAGAAGGTTCGGGAGTAGGTGAGCTATAAAGGGAAGAAATGGTACTAGAGATTAGGATTTTTTGGTGCAAAATTTTTGCAGCAAAAGAAAAGTCCAAAAGTATGTTGGTGGTAGTGATCAGAGAAGTGGAGTCTCTAGTTTTTGGAAGTGAGGAGGTCAGAGAAATGAGAGATCGTGTAGTTGCATGGACTGTGTTTATAAGTGACTCCCAATCCTGGTTAAATATTAGAATATCTTGGGAAGCTTATAAATATACAGATACCTAGGCCTTATCTCATTAACTCAGAATCTCAAAGCTCTCAAAATTCTAGAGTCCTCCCCAGATCTACTACATCTGAACTCATAGACAAATAAAACCTCCCCAGCTTATTCTAATGTGCAGCTATGGTTGAGAGTGGTTGTTGATGCAATCTCACAGTAGTAGTAGTGGAGAGGATGGTAACAATCTGCAAAAATGTTAAATGCTGTAATGAAAATAAAGGTGCATAAATCTTTTTTGAGTTATTGATTTCACGTTCTTTGGATAAATATCCACTAGTGGGATAGCTGGATCTTATGGTATTTCTATTTTTAATTTTTTTGAGAAATCTCCGTACTGTTTTCCATAGTGGCTACACCAGTTTGCATTCCCACCAGCAGTGTGTGAGGGTTCTCCTTTCTTTACATCCTCTCCAACATTTGGTGTTTCTTGTCTTGTTAATTGTAGCCATTCTTATGGGCATGAGGTGATATTTCTGTGGTTTTGATTTGCGTTTCCCTAATAATTAGTGATGTTGAACATCTTTTCATATGCCTGTTGGTCATCTGTATATCTTCTTTGGGAAAATGTCTGTTCATATCCTCTGCCCATTTTTGGATCAGGTTGTTCATTTTTTTCTTGTTAAGTTATACGAGTTCTTTATTTATTTTGGAAATTAACCACTTATCTGATATATGATTTGCAAATATTTTCTCCCAGTTGGTGGGTTGTCTTTTCAGTTTGTTGATGGTTTCCTTTGCGATGCAGAAGCTTTTAGTCTGATGTAGTCCCATTTGTTTATTCTTTCTTTTGTTTCCCTTACCTGAGTAGACATGGCATTTACAAAGACACTGCTAAAACTGATGTCACAAAGCTTACCTCCTATATTTTCTTCTAGGAGTTTTGGTTTCAGGTCTTACATTCAAGTCTTTAACCCATTTTGAGTTAATTTTTCTGTGTGGTGTAAGATAATGGTCTACTTTCATTTTTTTTGCACATGGCTGTCCAATTTTCCCAACACCATTTGTTGAGGAGACTTTCCTTTCTTAATTGTATGTTCTTGGCTCCTTTGTTGAAAATTAGCTGTCCATAGATGTATGGTTTTACTTCTGGGTTCTTGATTCTGTCTATTGATCTGTGTGTGTGTTTTTCTGCCAGTACCATGCTGTTTTGATTAGTATAGCTTTATAACATATTTTTGGATTCAGGGAGTGTGATACCTCCAGCTTTGTCTTTTTTCCATCAGGAATGTTTTGGCTATTCAGGGTCTTTTGTTGTTCCATATAAACCTTTAGGATTCTTTGTTCTATTTCCATGAAGAATGTCATTGGGATTCTGATAGGGGTTACATTGAATCTGTAGATTGCTTTAGGAAGTATGGACATTTTAGTTATGTTATTTCTTCCAATCCATGAGCATGGAACATCTTTCATTTCTTTGCGTCTTCTTCGATTTCTTTTAACAATGTTTTATAGTTTTTAGTGTACAGGTCTTTCACCTCTTTAGTTAAACTTATTCCTAGATATTTTATTCTTTTTGTTGCAATTGTAAATGGGATTATATTCTTGATTTCTCTTTTTGCTAGTTTATTATCAGTTTATAGAAATACAACTGATTTTTGTATGTTGGTTTTATACCCTTCAACTTTACTATATGTTTTTATTATTTCTAACAGTTTTTTGGTGGATTCTTTAGGGTATTCTATATACAGAATCATGTCATCTGCAAATAGTGACAGGTTTTCTTCTTCCTTTCCAGTTTGATCCCTTTTATTTCTTTTTCTTGCCTAATTGCTCTGGCTAAAACTTGCAGTACTATGTTGAATAAGAGTGTTGAGAATGGGCCTCCTTGTCTTGTTCCTGTTCTCAGAGAAATAGCTTTCAATTTTTCATCATTGAGTATGATGTTGGTTGTGGGTTTGTCATATGTGGCCTTTATTATTTTGAGGTACTTTCCTTCTATATCCATTTTATTCAGAATTTTTGTCATAAATGAATGTTGGATCTTGTCTTATGCTTTCTCTGCATCTATTGAGATGATCATGTGATTTTTATACTTCATTTTGTTAATGTGATGTATCACATTGATTGATTTGTGGATGTTGAACCATTTCTGCATCACATTAAAATTCGCTTGGCAATGCTAAGCTTGGTGTAGACTGAGGTATCAGAATCACATTTTTTTAACTGAAGAGCAATCCGATTTGGTAAACATTTTTGAAGATAATGTTTGAGTAGCATTTTAGCTAATATTTTGGCATTCTTAACAAAGGAAACTTAAAACTTCTGAGGAAAAACAGAGATTAGTTTGTAGGCATTATTGTTATGCAATAGAAGTCCTGGGACCATTTGATCTAGCTACTAAGTATACGCTCTCAACTTTGTTGCAACTTTTGAACAAACATTGTGCCTGCTTTGGCAGCATGTATTCTAAAACTGGAACATACATAGAAAATTTGCATGACCCCTGTGCAACAATGACAGGCAAATTCATGAAGCTTTCCTTATTTTTAAAACAAAATGAAACATTGTTATTAAAGGCATTTACAAGAAAAAACAGATTCAGTGACTGATGAGGCACGACCACAATGTTAATTAATGACAACAAAAAAGATAGAGAGCCTGGTGCAACCTGATAGCGTGTAGTTCAAAAGAACAGGGATTTGGAGGAAGCAAGGAGCTAACAGTCGTTGAGAATTAATCAGAAGAGGTATACATCACTTCCAGACACCTTGGTATGGAGCGGATGGAAAAACATTCTCTGTTTTAGAAGATTGCTTGTAGGGGATGTGGTGTCCTTGGGGAGCTAGGGTTTGGTTAAAAGGAGAAAGCCAAGTGTGCATTCTGAGAAAAGACTGAGGCTACGGGGGCATGTGCTATGATAGAGAGATGACAGTGGATGGACTTTGAAAAGGGGTCTGTTTTTAGGAGAAATATGAAGCCATGTATCTCTGTCTTCTGCTGGAAGCCTAGACTCGTGGTAGTAACTGAAGCAAATAAGGATGGGGATCACAGGGGGATTGTCCCTATTGTCTCTTAGGGGAAGTTTGGTAATCAGTTTCTGATATGGTCCAGAGCAGCAGCATGAGCATCATTTGGGAAGTGGTTAGAAATGCAAATTCTCAGGATGTGCCCCAGACCCACTGAGTCAAGCCCAGTGTTAGTGTTTTAACAGCTTCCCTGGGTGACTCTGATGCATGCTTAAGTTTGAGAAGCACTGGCAAGTGTAAAGTCTTTCCTGGAAGGCATATAACAGTCAGAGTTCTGCTTAGTCCTGGAGCTCAGGGTCTTGAGACAGCCTGGAGAAGAGCATATTTACATAACTTCTGCCTGGGCTCAAATTGTGATGCTTGCGGTATCCAACGTTGTGGAATGAAAACCTGAAAGCAATGTGGAGGCCTCCTTCTGACAGCTTATCCCTCTCACAGCGCAAGGTCTACCGCACTGGGAGTCCAAGGGGGCAGGAAGACCCCTGCTGTTTGGTTGTCCCCAGAGCGTCAGCTGCTGAGTGTGTATGAATGAGAGGGAAATATACGCATACTAATAAGAATAAAAATAAAAATATGGATGACCAAGGAGAACAGCCTCAAAAAATGTAAGGTTAATAAAATAAGTAAAGAGAGCTTTGTAAAAATTCACTAGCTCATTGTTATTTTTCTTATTTTCCTATGGACTAGAGAAAATGTCAACTTTAATTAGCCTTGATTTGAGGTCCAACATTTTGTGCAAGGACCAGCACTTCAGATTATGTCTTCATGGTAGCTCTCTCACCTTCCACACTGGGTATCCAGAGAAACTCTGAGCAGACATTTGGGCCTTTCTTATTGTTTAGTTTTCTCTCTCTTTCAAAGCAGTGTTTAAATGGAATTTTCTATAATATCATGGCTAATCTTTTATGATATAATGCTAATTGATTGAGGTTAAATACTATTTTCCATCCCCATAACTAAAGGCTAAACAAAGAAGGCCTTTCAAAGGCTATTCCCCACAACTCAAACATCATTTAGATCTGACTGTAAACTAATAAATTAGTATTCCAGTGTATTTTGTGGAATAAGCCACATTCTTTCATGGTCCCTAATTTTAGAAGCATAACATTTTAATAGCACAGAGTCATATCTTGGAAGAGAGTTTCCATATTGTTATTTAAGAAAGTTTGTGAGTTAAAAAAAAAAAAAAAACAAGCACTTTATAGTGTGGCTTTTGCCATTGCTTGCTTTGCTGTCAGGAGCTGCACACCTTTCATCTTTGGGGCAGCTTTGGTCTTGTCTGAGTTATAATACTATAAGATATCGACCTGGCATCTCTGATATCCATTTCTCATTCTTTAATATCTGAATTTGCAGAAACTGAACGCGCCAAAGAAGAGATTGGTGCTGCCTCAACTAAAAAAGGTAAATGGAGCTTAAGGAAAAAGACGTCATGAGAATGTCTTATTTCTGCTAAGGTTTCTACCTTAATTTATTGGTTAGTGCTTATAGAGAGCTCTATTGATTTTGCTATTTCATTGATATGGAAACAAATCCACTTCGCACAAGATTTATAGTATCTATATGAACAAGGTTTTGTCTTCACTGTTCTCACGTGAAGTTTTATTCCTTTAAGGCCATAAACTAAAACTAGTAATTATAGTCCAAATGCAAGTTAGTTTTTGAAAAATTGAAGAAATGCAGCTATTTAAACTCAATAGGATCCCAATCATCTGGAGAGCATTCAAATTCAATATACTGCCTTAGGAAGTTAGGGCTCGAACAGATGAAACTTTGACTAGTAGAACTGACTTGAGCAATGTTCACTTTGCGCATGAATAATACCAAATTAGAAAACGTGTTTCTTGGAACGCTCACTTGGGGACATTTTGCTTTAAGAAACATATTGGGAAGTTTGGAACCTAAGTTTTCAAAGCTACTTCTCTTGTCTTGTCTACTCAGAAGCAACTAATTATGTGAATATTGACTTCCTTTAGGAGACATTTTTAAGAATATATTTAAGAACATTAATATACATTAAAAATAATCATCATGATGAAAATTTTTACATATTCTCAATTCAAAATAAACTGGAACAATTCTGAAATTTGTAATTCTGTCTGTTTTACAAATAGAAATGAAATCAGTAATGTATCCAACGTCTTTGGAACTGTCTCAAGAGACAGTTTAACAATCCTTTACTTAAGATCCACTCACAAACCTACTCATACAGCCTTGCACACATACTCCACTAAAGCAGTATAACATTTTTCTCCTAAAAAACTCTTTTATTGCGGGGCTGGCCCCGTGGCCGAGTGGTTAAGTTCGCGCGCTCCGCTGCAGGCGGCCCAGTGTTTCATCAGTTGGAATCCTGGGCGCGGACATGGCACTGCTCATTAGACCACGCTGAGGCAGCGTCCCACATGCCACAACTAGAAAAACCCACAACGAAGAATACACAACTATGTACCGGGGGGCTTTGGGGAGAAAAAGGAAAAAATAAAAATCTTTAAAAAAAAAAAAACTCTTTTATTGCGTATAGTCTATAAAGAAAACATATATTAGGACTGCAAGGAGATGTAAAATATATATGACACATATCCACATGCAATTTATGTATACGAATATAAAGGAATACATGGGTATAAACTCATACAATATAAGTGTATATATTAGTTAATAAAGTATAATATAAATTACTATATATATTAGTTAATATATAAATTAGTATATACATGTATGTATCTAAAGGAAGACAAAAATTGGATAAAGAATATTTAAAGGAAAATATAAACTATATTGTAAGGTAATAATTAGAAGATAGAGTTACTGAGATTAATGGATGCCCTCTTTCAAATACAGCTCTCTATATTATTCCGAATTTACAGTAGATAGGAATAAAATCTGGTTCCTAATCAGTTCTTTTGCTAATAACCTATTATTTGCGATGTCATCATTGTGTGACATCTTTTGCTGGCTATCAATGTGCTGTAAGAGGCAGAGTGGTAAATTCACCAAAAGTTCAAATTAATGCATCTCATTCTTTTGTGATGTCTTATTTTTAAATCAGTTTTTCTTGTTGGCATTAAGCGGAATGTGGGTAAAACCTGATTGCTTCAGAATGAATAATGCCTGGTATCATGCAAAGGCTAAAGGTCTAAATACAGATTCAGAGACAGTCATTGATCTAGAGATGGATACAAGTGTACAAGGGCCCAGTAAGTGAATGTAAGGCCAGGATATTGATACATGTTAAAAGCAAGAACAAACGTGAGGCAAAGTTGTGTTCAAAATCTGTAGCTAAGAGTCAGGCAAGTGGAATATCCAAATAGTAGTATATGGCTTTCATCTGGAATTAGATTTCAGATACGGGGCCTTAAGGAATCCCTGATTGTGGAGGACAGTCTGCGGACAGAGTTAAGAAGGAAAGATTCAAGCACTGCTAACTAAGCCATGCACAGACTTGGAATCACTTGGAGCTAGGTTATTTAGGTAGAAACACAAACACACATAGTCTGGAGTCCACTCTGGTCAAATTGGAGTGAGCAGAGTTACTGAATTGAGATTGAACCCTCAATTAGTGAACTCATTGGAATCTTCAAACAAAAATGTTCCCTGAGTTTAGAGTAAGGCCAAACATGTTGGTTTAGGTTAAGTAGACTGATTGCTAGGCTTAACATGAAATGAAAGAAGAGAAATAATATGTTTATGAAAATAAACTATTGGCACCAACTCTTTGCCTTTAATCTTATATTTCATACCTGAATTCTTAATATAAATGTGATTCTGCATATGGGCATGAACAGAAACAAGTATGCCTTCCAAAGCTTTTTAAACTCAGTAGGGCTTTACCAATTTGACAAGTTACAAATAAAAGTCAAAGGAGACTTTCTTATTTGTCAAGTAGCTTTTCTGTCTCTTACCTCCTCACTGACAATCAATCACACCATCATGGTGATAATTTCATATCGAATCACTATCACATATAACTGAAACTAATAGATGTTGCATGTCAATTATACTTCAATAAAGAAAAGCAAAGAAAATACATATTATTTCATCATGTACTTAGTAGCCAGCCTCTAATCTCTATAACACTTAGTATACTTTGCAAGGTGTCCATTTCTTATTCTTTCATAGATAAGTAGAGTAGAAAGTGATTTGGGGGTTATTTTTGTTTTTAAGACTGTGGAAATTGTTCTTCTATGTTAAGGCTTGAACTAGGAACTGTGTGTGCAATGTTACTGATTTTATGATTGCTTTAAAATGTTCAAAATTAAAAAATAATATTTCAAATTAATTGCAATGTGCCAATTTATGTCTAGTATAAATCGCTCACTAGTAAGCCTACTTTTAAGTCATATTTGCTTTGGAAATATATAGTATTTAATCATCCATATGATAATCGTCTTACTGATTTGTATCTGTTTTGCAGCTTTCAAATCATTTTAACTTTCATTCAACATATATTTATGGATCACATACTGAGTGAAAACTTAAAGAAAAATTTAGATGTTAATATTGTTCTTGAACAATTTTAAAT